ATATATATATATATATATATATATATATATATATATATATATATATATATATATATATATATATATATAAATATTGATTTATTTATTTTTTTGTATTTTTTTTAAGAAATAAAATTTGTACTCTAAGAATGAGAGTATTTTTGTAGTTTTTTTTTTAAAAAAATAAATCCTATTAAGAGTAAGATAAAAGTTTAAATATTAAGATTAGATCTAAAAGAAATATTTACACTAAAATAGTATAGAATTTGAGTGCGGTAAAAAATTAGTTGTTCACACATCAAATGAAGAAAAACTTGGGGGGGGGGAGGGGGGGGGGGGAATAGAGAAGGAGAGTAGAGCGATGGAGAGAGAGACGGAGAGAGAGAGAGAGTGGGCAAGTATAAAGGGATAAGGAAATAACTGATATTCCTTATTCAATTCCTAATATAAAGGGATACTCATTTAAAACTTATTTGTATATAATTGGTAAATTGTATATGACCATGTAATTAAATTGAAACTTGAGTAGAGAGGGTAATAAGGTTTCAAATAGTGTATAGGAAGGTAAAAATCCCATCAAAATTTGCCTCTTATTATAGTGTGTGCTTCTATGGGGGCAAGCTACATTATAGGCACATTGAAAACGGAGATTATTAAGATTCAGTTAACCGAAATTAAGTTTAATCGAAATCCTCCTTTTTATAGAAGCAAAGCACGCATTGCAACCGATGATATACAACCTTTTCAAAGATTTCAGGCTTTCAAGGCCAGGAATATCCATTTATCTTCTCGCAGTTACTGAAGTTGAGTTCTTCCAAATTTGATATGTTAGCTATATGTTCCAATGCGGAGCAGTTTGCAGCATTTAACCATTCCAAACTTGAGGGAAGTTGAGGGAGAAACTTGAGCTTTCTGCAGTAAACGTTTGAGAACACAAAGTCCTTCATGCTTGAAGGAAGGATGCAAATTACCTAAAGAGAAGGTACTTTAAAGCACAGAAAATCTCCTTAATGAAACTAAAACAGTTATGCCTTCTTTCCTTTTCTCCATCTTCTTGAGCTGAGTTCGAGCTGAAGACGTTGCTCTTTCTATTAGAAGCTCCAATAAACCTTGTTAATCTTTCTGATACAGATTGTTGGCTTTCATCCAATGATTCTTCATTACCTTCATAATCATCATCACTTTCGTAAACTAAATGTATTCCGCACTTCTTCAGTTCAATCCCTGTAATGGGAAAGTTGCCCAAGCCCACCTGTATTATATCACCATCCTCGAGTATAGATACTAATGGATGATAATCTTGATACCTACACAAGTAAACTTGATCCTGGGGCGTAGTTGGGACTCCTACCAAGTACATACCAGTAGTATATACTGCTCGATTTGCTCTAACGATTTTGGCATGGATGTTAGCTATTACAGGCAATTCATCCCTTAAATCATCTGGTTTAGCACAGTTCACTGACACAACTATGGCAATAACCACTGCTTTAATTTCATTGTTTCTGTGTTTTGAGAAATGCACCTCACCTGGAGTTAACCAACTTGGGATTTCACTGCCTGGAATGCTAAAATTATACAAGTTTTTCACAGCAACCTGAGAGTGAAAACCTTTCATTAGCCTAACAGGTAAGTACTGTTTTGGCAAGAAACTGAATGAAACAATAGTGTGTTCGGTATGACGGATTTTTTTTTATATATAGTTACCAACCAAACACCAGGAAACATTTTTCCACAGAAAACATTTTTGGTACAAAATAACTTCCGTCGTATCACACAGTTAAATAGGAGAAAACAATACCTTACCAAGTTTGCTTCTAACAATAGAGGCACAGGAGACATTGCAACCAGCCATACGTAGCATTCTTAAGGATTTCAAGCATTCGATACCTTGGATGTCTACCAAACTCATGCAATTTGCAAGATTTAGCTCGCGCAAGAACTCTAATCTTGAGATATCGTACATACTCTCTAGTGCTCCACAGTTTGCAGCATTTATGTTGAGCAAACTTGAGGGAAGAGGAGGAATAGCTTTCAACTGTTTGCAGTGGGGAACAAGGAGCTCTTTCAAGAAAGGTAGTCCTTTCAGACTAGACGGGAGATAGGAAAAATCATTGAAACCAAGATTGATGATCTCCAAAGATGATAGTTTCTCAAAATCATCCGGTATTTTCCCAACTATTCTCCACGTGCGGGCATCAAGTTCTTCTAACATGGATAGCTCTGAGAAAGATGAAGGAAGCACAACAGGTGCTGTTTCCCTTTCTGTGTAGGTAGCTGGTTCTGTGGTTTCAGTACTTTGTGATACCTGCAAAGGCAGATCCAAAGTTTAATCTTTATGAGTTTAAGGTTCTAAATTCTTTTAAAATATGGGTTCAAAATATAACATTTATACTAGTTTTCATAGTTTCCACACACAAATACATATATCCATGATTTAATATAACTATGCATTCACCAGTGGGTACCTGGCAGAAATGCTTCTTTCCCATCTTCAGAATCATTAAGCTCGATAGCATCCCGAATGTTTCAGGTAATTTTGTTACTGAAGTCTCCTCCATTAGCAGGTGTACTAAGTTCTTTAGTTTCCCAATTGAAGCTGGCAATTTGCAAAGTCGCTTACATCTGGTCAATCTCAATATGACAAGATTCTGCAAATTCCCAACTGATTCTGGCAGCTCCGTAATAGCATCATTTCTGGTAAGAGTCATTGTTCTAAGAGCTAACAATTCTCCAATGGAGTGGGGAAGCGAGCCAAGGCGCTCACAGTTCCTTATCTCAAGATTCTTCAGTGATTTAAGTCCACCAAAAACATGATCCGGAAGACTAATAATTGGAAGCTTTTCTATTTGAAGCTCAACCAAAGAAGACAATCCTTTAATTGAAACAGGCAATGCATTCAGATGCTGACTGTTTCCGAGCGATAAGGACCTAAGATAATACAGAGAACCAATAGATTCTGGCATCATTTTTATTGCACTGCCATAAAGCCAGAGATTTGCTAAAGATTTGAGGTTGCCAACACAACTGGGAATAGCAGCAAGTGACTCACACCTAATTAAGTTTAAAGTATGAAGGTTCTGCAAATGTTCAATAGAATCAGGTATTTCTTCCACAGCAGAACCATTAAGAGAGAGTTCCTTCAAAGCGCTTAGCTTTCCTATGAACCGAGGAAGTTGTTTCAATGAGTGGCACTGGCTTAAGCTTAACTTCTCAAGTTTTGTTAAGCGAAATATACTTTCAGGCAACTTCTCTATAGCAGTCCCATCTAATAGAAGTTCTTGTAAGGACTTCATCTTGCCTATATGTTCAGGTAACTGTTTCAATCTCGAGCAGCCCGAGAGTATCAGCTTTTCAAGATTTTTCAGCCCGGAAACCTCACCTGGAAATTCAACAAGGTTGCGGCAATCTCTTAGATTTATATGACGTAACGTATTCAGATTCCCAATTGTTCTGTGAATCTTTTGCAATGCACTGCAACGCTCAGCTATCAACTTTTCCAATGCTTTATGCGTGGATAAATCAGGAATAGCTGTTATTTTATGACAACGAGAGATATTCATAACTATCAACTTGTTTTCCACCTGCAAAGTTTAGAGAAACATGCATAAATAATCTATATTTGAGATTAAAAGAAATGAGAGCGTATCAGGACTTTCATCAACTACAGGATGCAATTCAGGTAATCAAATTGTATGTAACTAAAGTTCTGTCATTATGAATTCCCTTTAGGAGCTCTCTAAATAAGCAAATGACTGTAAATAATAAAATGAATCATAGATGAAATAGAGTATNTTTAAGTTTGTTTTTTTTTTGAAAACGTTTAAAGGTGTATATGTTAAGTCTTCT